CTGCGCCTGGGCAACAGGACGGGGCACAGCCGAGAGGAAGTGAAGGCCCCGCAGAGGGGGAGTCTGCAAGTGAAGGGCGAGCTTGCGGGGCCTTCCGGTCCAGTGTCCTCCCCCCCACCCCCGGCCGGCCATCAGCCTCTGCCGACTGTGGCCGCTCTTCCGGGTCAGAAGGTCCTTTCCAGCCTTGAGGTCCCTCTAGCGGGCCTCGTTTCCAGGGTAACTTGCTACGAATGGCTCTCGATGGAAAGGAAGAGAGGAGAGCGAAACCGAAAGAGACAGAGAGCCAGCCGGGGAAGGGGAGGGAAAGACCTTCTGGCCAAGAGAGCAGGGCCAAGGAAGAGCAGGCTGCACCGGTCCCAAAGCCGTCCCTCCAGGACCCCAGTCCCCACCTGGCCTTAGTGTCGCTGCCTGTGCTTCGGTTGGCGTGAGCAGAGGGCGCCGTGCAGACATCTGGAGGAGCGCCCACCCTGCTCCCGCGCTGTCTGCCTCTTTTGCGGCTTCGCTTCCTCCCTGCTTCCCCCTGCTCCTGCCTCCGTGCCTAGACCCCCAGTCCTTCTCCTCCGGCCCGGCCCCGCAGCGGCCTCAGCTCTCTCAGGCGGGAAGCCAGCCATGCAGCGGGAAGCCTCCTTGTGAAGCCCTGCCGGGTCCTGCAGACACCCAGCCCGTCCTGTGTGCCCTCCGGCTCGCAGAGGGCAGGGCCGGGCCGCCACTGCCGCGGCCTCCGCTCTGCACAGTGACTCCTACACTCGCACACAGGGGTCTCATTTGTAGAACATATTTCTCACCTCCCTGGATGTTCTAAAATGAATTTCACATAACCTGCTGACATTCACGGTGACACACACACACACACACTCACACACACACACACATACCCCACAGGGCTGGAACTCTAGTGTAACAAAGAACTGAAAGGAAAATAATAAAAACATTTTGATGTGGAAAATGTCAGGGCACAGCAGCAGTGAAGTCTCTGGTGCCTGTTTCTAGGTGAAGAATCACTGGAATCGGAAGCTGCAAACTAGACGGGCAGGACTCAGATGCCACCAGAGCCTTGTCAGCCCCGGGGTCTGGACACAGTAGCCTACAGCTCCTGGTAAAATGTCAGTAACACCAAGTTCTCGTCTCTTTGTTTACATGGTAGTTGTGGTCCTGAAAAAAATCCATTGCTCATCAAAACTGCAAAACACAAAACCAAAAGCTTTTGTTTTACACAGAGCATAGTTAGGTCCAAGGCTCAGGAAGCTGCAGGTCGGAAAACTGATTTTCAGAGTCAGGCAGACGTGAGCTGGGCCTCCCGTGGGTGCAGAAACGCTCCCCCAGGATGGCGGGGTGAGGCTGCCTGGTGGCCTCAAGCTCTGCCCACCCGCCCCGCCCCCTTTCGGCTGCTGCGCCCAGCGTGAATTTAGAGCATGCGCAGTCGCATCCTTGGAGGAGCCAGGAGGACATTTCCTGTGGGAACTCAGCTTTGGGAGATCTTTCTCTTCCTGGGCCTCAACACTTGACAGGAAATATTATTACAGAACCCCATGCCTGTGCCTTTTGCTGTGGGAAAGAAAAGATATTTTAATGTGCAGTGTGGAGCCATCCTTACAGGGAGGGTCATGGTGTGCTCTGGTGTCCACCGTAGGAGAATGCCGCTCCTAGAAACGACTCATGCCATCCACCCCGGTGTGCAGGGAAGCAATGGGGGACTGGTGCCACCTGGAGAGAAAGCACTCTTCTCTGGGAGCTGCCTGGGGCCTGTGCCTCGTCAGCCTGCAGGTTCTAACGCTAACACACCCGGGCCTGCTGGCTTCCGGGACTGCTCTTCTGTGTTTTTGATAATCTTGGGACATATGCTTGGGAGTCAGTATTTCGTGCTTGGATTCTTACTCGGAAACTGACTCTGGTTTACACTCTTTCTGTATTGAATTTTTTCGGTCAAAGGCTGTGAAATTGGCTCCTTAAATCAGGAACAGAAACATACAAGCTGGTCTCATTTGTTAATTTACAGGCTGATGAAAAAATCCTCACCTTGTTTTTTATGGAAACTTGTTTTGATTCACAAAGCAAACGAATCCCGAGCCTGCCAGAGTGGATCTCTGTTGGTGGCATCTGTCCCCTTGCTGGTGACCGCCTCTGGGCACGTTCTCAGGGAAGGGTGCAGCTTTCCAACCCTGGTGCAGGGCTGCGCCACGGGTACCGGTTTCTCCTGCTCTGAGGTCCGCTGGACACATCAGGAAACTGCCTGGGCACCAGGCACCAGCTCTGCAGCAGCCACCACTACCGTGTCCTCCTGGACTGGGTTCTCCCACCCTGACCACACTCCAGTTCACCTCATTTTAAGCCAGTCTTCTCTGCTGGAATGTAGTACCATTGAAAACATGAAAATGTTAAAAATGGAAGTGAGAGACAAATAACTGGAGGGCCCACAGCGCCCCCTCCTGGTGCCCCGCTGGCACCTCCAGCTCTGTTCTGGCATAGGCAGCCCCTCTGCTTGAAAGGGCTAGGGTGAGGGCTTGACCATGTCTCCAAAAGCTCCCGTGTTGGAAATTTAACCCAAATCCATGTGCCAGGGATTCGGAGGTGGGTTTGAAGAGAAGACTGGGATTTGATGAGGTCATGAAGGGGCCCCGGGTAGCATCCATGGTTTTATAAGAAGGGAAGGGATCAGAGGGGCAGCTGGCTGTGTCTCTCCCGATGGTGCCACGGGAGCCCCTCCCTGGATGCCAAGCACAAGTGGGGTCTTGCTCTTGGGCTTCTGGCTCATTCTTTAGAGACTGCCTGGCCTGTGGTATTCAATTAGAGCAACAAAAAACAGACCAAGACCCCTCATGAACTTTCTACTGCTAAATACACGTTCTTCCATAATATTGTTTTTGACGTATGAGTAGTATGATTATAATATTTGAGGCCACCTCAGGAGAAGATATTATCATTCTTTCTTTCTTCACCCTAATGAGTGACCCGCCGATGCTGGACACTGGCTCTCCTGTCCCGGGACACATCCCGAGAAGCTAAGCTGTGGTCAGACTGAGCAGTATGCCAAGCACCATGAAGATCCAACCCTCCTGCCACCACTGCCTGGCTGAGGTGGCCCAGAAATGCCTGCTCGCTGCATCCTTCTCCATCTGGCTATCAGAAACTGACTTTGATGAGAGATAGGAGTTGTCAGGTGCCCGGAGAAATTCACCCTTCATTTGTCATCGGTCATTTTTGCATTGTTCAACCACACTTGGTGTCAGGAACTGATGTCTCCCCTGAAACTCAGATTCTCCCTGGCAGATTGATGCCCATTTTCTCAATTGCTAACTTCTTGTTGATGGAGCCTTCTGTGTGTCACTAGGCCTTTGTGTTATTCTGCCTGCAACTTTGGGAGCTCTGCAAGGCATTCTGAACAGCTTCCACTTCACCCAAGACATTAGCACTTCTGGTGCCTTCGGATGTGCCCTGCATTTCACAGCTTCTGGCATGGACTGTGGTCTAAAGGTGTCAGAAACACAGGCCACAGGGGACCACAGACCCCTAGTCCACCTCACGATGCACAGTGGATGCAGGGCTGGGCCTGCAGAACAGGAGCCACACCTTTCTGTCCAGTGGAGCCCGGTCCTCATGGCAATGTCTATATTGTCTATATTTGCCAATGCCACACTGCTATGGTCCAGGTGAGCTTCAGGTACCAGAGGCAACCCAAGGGACTGCTGCTTCCAAAAACAGAAGCAACCTACTCCGTCCTCCCTTCAGGGGCCCTGCCCACAGATGCATGATCCGAACAACATCTGCCTGGCCAGCTGCAGGTGCAGAGTGTGATAAAGCACACTTCCCTGGCCCAGCTCCTGTTCTGGCTGTTGCATGGACAGCGTCACTTAGGAAACAAACGGAAGCACTGCAGCTGAAAGGCGACTTTCCTGCAGCCAAGCTGGGTCCTGGGGAGTGCAGTATTAGCCACTCCTCACCATGCCGGGGCGGGAACGGCAGGACACCTGGTCAGTGTGACATGAACCATGGACCCATGGCCTGGATAGTCACAGTAGAAAAGCATGAATGCTTTCCTGTGGAAGATCGTCAGTGTCCCTGTCCCCAACGCACACTGGGACAGTCTTCTGTCCAGCAGGAGATGTACACGGAGTCCTGGGACCACCAGCTCCATGTGATGGTGAGGGCCAGGGAGTGTTTGGAGCCCTTGCCCTCTGCAGCTGCAGGCTGCCGGATTTTGCCTCCTTCAATTTAGGCTTCAGAGTCAACTGTACCGAAGCCACTGTGCCATCAGGAAGGAGCAAGCGTGGAGCTTCCCTTACTGGGCCATGTTTCCAGGAGCAGCCCATTTACCTGCCCATTCTGTGTGTGTGGTAGAGAGAGGATCTGCAGTCCCATGGACGACAGGTGAACACCAAATACTGCCCTGCTTGGTCCTTGGTGGCCAGAGCTGCGGCATGAAAGCTTGCAGTGGGCACCCCAGTGGGCCTGCAAGGGTGCGTGCCTGTGCCAACCCTCGTGAGCTGCGTGGGCCAGGCGCTTAGGCTCCTGCCTGCACGTGCATGTGTTTGTACAGACGATTTGGAGCTACTGCTCGAGCTAGGCCTCTGCTCCCCTGTTAGGCCGCACCAGAGGAGAAGTTTTACAGTGCCACGGGATTTCCTTCTCCTCCTTCTGTTCTTCCATTCTTTTCTGTTTCCAGTTTTCTCAATTTGCAGTTTCCTTTTATGCCAGGAATAGGTTTAAATGTTATCAGTGTTTTTTCTCAGCTGCTGAAAAAAAATGATTTTTCCCTTCCTACTTTCCTAATATTTTCTCACTTTTTCCATAATGCTCCTGTTACTTTTATGATGGAAAGAAGACCAATAATTTCATATTCATGTCCTTTTAGGATCCGAAAGACGGTGCTGAGAACCATCTGTCTTTCTGCATCTCAGTGCCGATGAACGACAGCAGAGTAGGTCTCCATGGGGCGGCAGAGAGTGTGCCACCCAGCACGGCCACGGCTGGACCAGATTGATGCTGCGTGTGCTCTCTCCTAGGTGCCGCAGGACGAGTGGGGTGGGTATCCCCCCGGCGGCAAGGACGATGAGATCCCCTGCCGGAGGATGCGAAGCGGCAGCTACATCAAAGCCATGGGGGACGAGGAGAGCGGGGAGTCGGACTCCAGCCCCAAGACCTCCCCGACGGTGGCCCTGCGGCCCGAGCCGCTGCTGAAGCCCATCCCGCAGAGACCGCTTGGAGACCACCAAACGTAAGAAGGGCTGTCCTGTCCTCCGTGCATGTCCTCTCTCCACAGAGCTATTCGGCTGTGGGCTGGCTGTCGTCAACCCACGCTCGTTGGAAACAGGCGAGCCCGTGGCCGTCAGCCTTCGTGTCTGTTCCCAAGAATGACCAGCTGGACATTCAGTTATTTGTCTCTCACGGGTAACTAAGGAAAGAGCTTGGGAGATGTCTGTGTGTGGTTTCCAGCCCGGCCTGACACTCCACGGCCTTCCGATCATTCAGGTCATTTCTAGCACCAGGAGCGCGCATTTCCGTGTGCGTGTGTGCGTCGGCCTGTGCACAGACCTCAGATGGGGCCTCTCTGCTCCCTGTGGCCCCGTGAGTGCATTTCTAGGCAGCAGTTTTGTCAAGGGGAGGGAGGGACAAGCTTTACAAACATAACCGCGTGTGCTGTCTGCCTGTGTTTAAACGTGCGTTATTGATAAATTGAACTTCCAAATAGAAACAGATAGGTCTCTGGGGAACTGGTACTGCCAAGCTCTGAGAATATGAGGAGTAGAACAAGCCACTGGCTCGCAGGCCCGCTTCTTCCAATGGATGTCTCCTGATGCCGCACACCTGTGTCCTCCCTGTGTCTGCACAGCGAGCTGCCGTGTCCCGAGGGAATGGCAGTCAGAGGGGCAGCAGCTTCTCACTGAAGCACAGAGGCTGCTGCTCATGGTGCTGGGCCAGGGGTGACTTCAGGAGCATTAGTGTGCAGGGAGAAAGCTGCCTGGCTTGCAGCTGAATCTCACCTGCAGAAGCCATGCAGCCTGCACGCCCACGTAAGCAGCCTGTGTCTAGGAACAGCAGTCGGCTCAGTCTCCTTCCTGAGCTCACACAGGGCCTGCGGGGAAGCCCTGAGCAAGTGCGGGAGCTCAGACAAGGGGAACTCATTTCATCTTGTAATTCCCAGAAAGCTGCATACCTGTGCCATCTTCATTCTAGAGTTCACTTTGTACTCAGCAAAACTGCTGAGCTCATCAGCACCGACAACCATGAGGCTGTATTTAAAATGCTGTTGGGAATTATTGGATGTACCGATGCACTGAGTATCGCTCCCCGTTCACACCACACAGCTTCCCGCAGGAGCCGATCCAAAGTCTCCTAAGATACAGAGACCCAAACGATGAAAATAAGAATGAATATCTGCTTCATGTATGAGATCTTTACTCCCCTCTTGGTACGCACAAACAGCTTGCCTTAGCACTGACAGTATCTGAGAATGCAAAATCATGACAAGATGAACTTAGTAATTGTGTGCTAACTCCAACTGGATCGGCATGGTTCACACGCTTGTGGCTGGGTTATCCTGTTGCACACTAAAGCTGTGGGAGGTGAGCACATCCATGTCCTCTGCCATTGCGGGAATGGGCAGCTTCCACGGTGGCTGGGGTCTGTGCAGGACTGAAGAGCCTGACCTTTGATTGGCCAATATCGCATCATCGGCTGAAGCATGCAATAGAAAGCTCTTCTGTGAAGGCTGCTGCTGCTCTGCAGAAAGCCTGACCTCCAGGAACAGAGCCAGGGTTATTCTGTGGAAAACAGTTTGCCCTCTGCTGTTGAAAGATCAGTCCCAGTCCTGTAGTTAACGGTTTAAGATGCATCCTTATTATTCATATATCATTTCTGCTTTTACCTTCCTGTGTTCTCTAGAATAGTCCACAGAAGAAGGAAGTCTTTCACTGTCAAAAGAAAAAATAAAACAAATCCAACAGGCAAAGTCCTCGTCATACCTGTGCTCGTGCCTCTGGCTGTCCTCAGCACCTGGGTCCACGGATCAGGACCTTTAGGGGCTGTGTGCAGGGCAGGATTCACCTCCCTGAAATGCAGGCTTCCATTACTACTGAATCCAGCTAATGTCATTTCAAATTAGCTTATGTTCTAGTGTCTGAAGTACTTAAATTAATCAGTTCAGTCTTGGCTATTATGAAAGCTATACCAAGTAATTTCTTGGGGGCCTCTAGTTTTTTCTGCTTACTTGAATTTTTAAAATCAAAAATAATTTTTACCATCTCTGAGTCATTCTCAGGTGAAGGTAGTACTTTAGATTTATTAAGAAAGGAGAACTTATTTCAAGAACTACATTCTATCTTAAGTAAAGGTAAATTCTGATAGATTAAAGCATCAAAATTGTATTACACATACCTCCATACATGAGCATATACATGGACATACATGAATATGTATTAATATTCTGTAATATTGGCGTAGAGAAGAGTTATTTACACCTGGTCCTGTGGGGAGGAAACTGTCAGACACTGACTCATTGAACCCCAAAATTTAAAAATTTATTCATGGTCAAAGCAAACAGACCAACAAACTGAAAGTACTCTCACCATGGTAAAACAATAGTAATAACCTAGGAAAGAGTTTTGCAGTATAAAAAATAACATGTTCATATTCTTCATATGTAAAGATCCTTTACAACTTAAATATATTGCTATAATCTAAAAATGAATAATTGTCAAAAATTAAAACTTTTGGAGAGTACACCATTTGCAACTGGATATCTAAAATTTATTCCAAAAACATTTCCGAAAAGCTTACAAAGATGTAAAAACGCAATACACCACACTGTTTGACTGCATATTATCTGGTATATCATCGTAAGGAGTTGCACATTACTCAGGTGCCAGTCCCCAGGGGATTGGGCCAGAGAAGGAGCTGGCCAAGAACAGCACTCCTCACCAGCTGCCATCCTGGGCAACAACTGTGGAGACGACACAGTGTTCCCACAAACCAGCAGAGAAAAATTTTAAATGTGATAAGTGATAAAGGATCGGATGGGAAAGGAGGCTGTGTGCCTACCTACAGGGGAAGCAAGAGAGACAAAACTTAAAAGAAAGAGTCAAGGAGAACAACTGCACATAAAAACCGTGGTGTTAAAAGTAGAGATTGCAGCTGGTTTAGCAGTGGTCTCCACATAACTGAGTAGTAATCAGTGAATTTAAAAATGGATTGAAGATGGGTCAACAGAAACTACCAAACTGAAGCTCAGAGAGGAAACACTGGGAGATGAAAAGCAGACACAAGTCTCTAGGAGCTGTGGAAACATCAGAGGGTCCAACACACACACAATTGGAATCACAGAAAGAAAAGGAGAGCTGCACAGAGAAGAAATAAGCTCTGGAGTCTAAACACGAGAATACTGCATCCCAGAGGGAAGACCCTATGAGATGACTACCAAACAGAACCACGGACTTTCATGCAATTACCTTCAAAAAAAACCAGAGAAAAATAACAGACACATTGCACACAGAAGAGCAAGGAATCCAACCAGATGTTCGTCATGAACTCTTCCAGCCAGAGAACAGTGAAGTGACAGCATCAAAGTAATAAGAAAAGCCTGTTCTCCAGAATTCCAGACCTAGAGAAAATATCTGTCATAAATCAAGCAAAATCAAGACTTTCTTAGAAAGAAAGGGATAGGGAGAGAAGGAAGGAAGGAAAAAAGAGAAAGAAAGGAAGGAGGGAGGGAAAGAAAGAGCTCAGGCAAGCTGAGAAAGCACACCTGTGCCTCAGGCAATGTTGAAAGAAGCCTTTAAGCACAGACGCTTAAGAGCACAGTCACAGCACACAGAGTAATGGGAAGAAAAGGAGAGCTCCGCCCCTTGGTGTTGGAGATGGCTACTGACTCTAAGCATTTGCCCAAATCCACAGAGCTGTGCAGACAGTGAGAAAGGCTGCAGGTTGAGAGACTGGACCAGGGCCAGCAAACCCCAAGGAGAGGAGCAGGCAGAGCAGAGGCGTGTCAGCCAGCACCCTGAGGTGGAGACAGGCATGATGAGGGGAAGAAGAGCCTCACCCCAAGCTCCCAAGAAGGCAACTGAGGCCGAGGATGCTCCAGGCACCTCCCCCAGCCCCCACCACTGGCTCCACAAGGTTGGAGCCAGGAAGGAAGGAGCCAGCTGCCTGTGGACACTCAGGTGTCCACCTTCCTCTGCTGCAGGCCTGCACTGGGGAGCATGTCCACACCCAAAGCAGCACAGCCCTGGAAGCTGGACGCCTGTGCCGCCCTGCCCCGGTCCAGTTGGCAAGCAGCTGTGTGCTGAACGTCGGGAGAACGGGCTCCTCTTGGGACAAGGTGAATTCCTCCAGCGTCCAGCATGAGCATCAGGACTTTCCAGAGAAGCTGCGGCGGGTCACACCCAATCTGGGAAGGTGAAGTGAGGGTCCCCAAGCCACTTTCCACGCGTCCTGCAGCCTGGGCTCCTGCGTTGCCTGGTGTTGGGTCTTGGAGCCTCCTCAGATGCCCCCAACCCTGCCAGCAGTTGCAGCCCATCGTCCCTGATCCAGTTTGCATCTGGCAGATTCCTCGTGCTGTGACCTGACATGGGGAGGCTGGTACTCCGGCTCTCCTGCGACCCTCACAGCCCTGGATGAGTGCCCCAGAGTCTCCAGTCTTGGTGCTCAGGCTTGCCACATCCCAGAAGCTCTGGAGTCAGGAGCCCTGCAGTCTGTCCTCTCCGTGCTGAGCTCACTGCACCCGTGTGTGGCTTCCTGGGGTCTGAGCGGCACTGAGGCAGGAGTGGCTCCCTCGCGCTGTCCAAGAGTCCTCCTGCCATGTCTTGTGCTCAGCCCTCGCTGAATGCATGGATAAGACCTCTGTCCTCGAGCCCCTCAGGGGCCACTGCTGATCATCCTAACAAGCCGCCTGCCGTGCTGGCTCCTGGGAAGCAGGCACAAGGTCTTCCCGGCTCGGTGGGATGTACGACAGAGTCACACTCCCCAGTCCTCAACACCTTCGCATCAGTGCAGGAGGGGCCAGGCGCTGGCCTCCCGGAGGAGACCGCCCACCTTCAGCGTGCCATTTTCCAGTCCACAGAGAGCCATCTGCTCCTGGGCTGGTGTCCTCACTCACGGCTTCCCCACCACTGTGGGTGGGAGGCTTCCGAGTCTCATTTCTGCAGAGGAAGCCAGGCCTGCTGCCTCCAGGCTGCTGCCAGTGCAGGGAGTGTGTGCAGCCCTGAGCATGGCCCCTGTGGG